CTGCCCCATGGAGATACTCCACACACACTGCCCCATGGAGATACTCCCTGGCAGAGACCTGACATCAGCTCTGTTCGCTCATTCATGAGGGCTCAGCAGCCACAGCGTCATCTTGGGAGTAGATCCTTTCCAGTGGCGTCTCTAGATGACCAAGGTCCCAGAGGGCGTCTTGACATCAGCTTTGGGAGGGAGCCTGGAGCAGAGGCACAGGCTAACGGCGCCTGGATTCCTTTTCTCTAGTCCCAGGGTACTCACCTCTTCCCTCTTCTGGCCTCTAGGGCCTCTGCGCACATGTGGTGCACAGAAATCTGTGCAGGCAAAACATCCACACATTTAAATATTTTTTATTTTTTTAAAAAAAGGAATCCAAGGCCAGCCTCAGCTACATAGTGAGTTCCAGGAAACCTGGGCTACATGAGTTCTTGTCTTTAAAACAAAACAAAATAAAACAAAAACTTATCTTTAAATACAGTCATATTTTGAAGTATGGGAGTTTGGACTTAAATATGCAAGTTGGGAAGAGGTACGATTCATTCCATAACACAGAGAAACTAAGGTGACAAACGACGGTCAGGAGAAAGCAGTTCAGTGAGGAAGTCATGTGAACACAAGAGAGCGAGCTCTGGAGAGGGCTGGGACGGCACCGTCAGGAAAGCCCAGCCGTGCAATCCCTGAATGTGACGTGTGTTTTATTTATCTATTTAAAGCTAGGTGTGGTGGCCCTCGCTTGTAATCCCATGATGGGGAATTGGAGATAGGTGGGTCCTTGGGAGTCACTAGCCAGACAGCCTAGCCTACTGGTGGAGATCCAGGTCAGAGAGAGACAGTCAGTGGTCACTGCAGGAGGAAAGCCAGCTGAGGATTCTGCTATGGTCTCCACATGCTCAGGCATATATATGTATGTACATGCAACACACACACACACACACACACACACACACACACACACACACACACACACACACGAGACTTGGAGAGGCTTCCGGTGGTAGAAGGGCTAGCAGTGAGCCAGAAGGACTACCTCCTCAACACATAGCTAGCCAAGAAAGATTCAGAAAAAGCTTG